TACTACACACCCCTACCAACATTACCTGTCGTGCTGACAAAGGTAAGCAAGAGTTAATCTCAGCACATTGTTCGTGTAAATGACTTTTGTACTGAATCAGTTTCCATGTTAGCTTTTTCTTAACTCCCTCTTTTTAATGCACTCTAGCACTGACTGTGAAACACTTAAAACCAGTTTAGAAAATAACTTAGAACTTTACTTCAGCCAATCTGGATGTGTTGATTTGTTTGCTAGTAGATTTTAACCGCAATTTAATTGGCGGGGCTGCTTACCCAATGAATGATTACTGAGGAGTCTCATCACAGCACTCTGGACAGATCCGTGGGTGCCCCAAGCTCTTTAACAAGCCTAAAACAATTGATCCTGCCCATTCTCTGTTGATTAATCATGCGTGAGATGTCCATGTCTAACTGCTTCAGGTTGCAGCCCCATATCCACCAGCCTGGAAATGAATACTTTGCTTCACCAGCTGTAAACACAAATGGAAAGATCTGGACTTTTAAGTCTTGTTTCAGAATCCATTATACAGATCTGGATTATTTGAATGCAGACTGTTTGTTCCTTGCCTGTCAGGTAGATGCACTCCAACTTCAAGGAAACATCTCAAATTAGTAGACTCTTGTGGCATTCTTGTTAGGGGGCAGTGGGACTCCCCACCCCCACCCCCCAAGGGGGCTCTGGACTCACACAAGGAGTATAGTGATACTGAGTCCTGCTAGTTCTCCAGTGTTCATATTGCCATTCATATTTTATTTCATTGAATACATCCTCTGAGGAGTGACTGGCCGAATAGTCAAGTACATTCATCTGTCATGTGGGTGATCCATATCCAGATCTTCAGTAAGTAGGGGATTTAGAGCCAGATGGCTAGTGCAGCCATTATGGACTGTGCCAATTTTCATAAGAGTTCAAAGTAAGGAGTATTGAATTCATGCAACTGAGTTTCATCCCACATGGCTCAGTCTCTCACTACAGAATGATGAGTTAGCTGCAGAAAGTGTTATCAGTAAACCAACATAGAACTGTTTTTATCCGACACCACACACTGGGGTATATACTGAAGGTGGAGTCTGAATAGTAAACCAACAGAGAACTGGTGTTATTCACTCACCACACTATGGGGATTATACTAAAGATGGGATCTGAATAGTAAATCAACAGAGAACTGGTGTTATCAGCCGCCACACGATGGGGGATATACTAAAAGTGGGATATGAATGGTAAACCAACAGAGAACAGATGATATCAGTCGCCACACACTGGGGAATATACTGAAGATGAGATCTGAATAGTAAACCAACAAAGAACTGGTGTTATAAGTCACAATTCACTGAGGAATATACTGAAGATGAGATCTGAATAGTAAACCAATACAGAACTGGTGTAATCAATCACCACATGATGGGGAATATACTGAAGATGAGATCTGAATAGTAAAACAATACAGAACTGGTGTTATCAATCACCACACGATGAGGGATATACTGAAGATGAGATCTGAATAGTAAACCAACAGAGAACTGGTGTTATCAATCACCACACGATGAGGGATATACTGAAGATGGAGTCTGAATAGAGAACTGGTGTTATCAGACGCAACACACTGGGATATACTGAAGATGAGATCTGAATAGTAAACCAACACAGAACAGGTGTTATCAGCCGCTGGGGGAAATACCGAAGATAAGGATCCGAGCGCTTATGGATGTTTCTAACGTAAAGATCCCTTTTCACACCTTAGGTGCATCGGTCAAAATGGGAAGAGCATCCCATATTTTTACAGACCAGTCGGCACTAGATGGGTAATGTAGTCAGCATTACGCGGGCCATCTTTACTTCCCCAGAACAGCCATCCTGGTACCTATTTTTGGCTAGGTCAACCTGCAACGCCCCATACCATGATAAAAATCCACGCAATGAGTCTGACGTGCTATGAGGAAAATCTGTCAATTAATTAACTAGAGAGTGTTGCACTAAGCATGAATTGCTTTATTTTGGTAGCAGTTAGCAAGGATTTCCATGAAAGGTACCCATGACCTGCATGATGCAGCCCATGAAGAGAGCACACGACCTTCAGAGGAGGAAGCAATTGGATTAGCCACTTAGTTACAGAGACCTTTAATAGCTCTAAATCTATGTCTAGTCTGTGAAGTGTTATTTGTTGGGTTATGTTTGCGCCACTTTGATTATGTTTGTAGTGCTCAGATTCTTTCTTTGGCAAATACATCAGTGCCCTATGGTTTGTATTGCTAGCTCTATGTTCATTTAAAAAACTTCTTGTACGTCCAGTGTGCCTCTCATGCATGGCTGTCCTGATTTTTACTCTTCAATTCTTGCATTCTCAGAACAGACGGATACACTATTCCCAATATCCTCCGATAGTCCTAACTCTCCAAGGGCAATAACAAAGTCAATGTGATCCATAGGACAGCCATCTGCAACTAAGGCAGAACTGGCCAACCTATCAGCTCTTTCATTACCAACAACAAAAAGTGAAGATAAAGGTAATTCCATGCATAGTGGAGTTTCACTAGTAGTCTTCCATGTTTGTTTCTTAGTTTTTTCCGTTCAGTCTATAACCTGTGTTATACATTTTCTAGGAAAACCAGGAGCACAGATCACATGGCATCTTGATGGTCAGCGACTGACCTATGGGGTCAGCAGCCATGTCCAGCCCAGTGGGAAGTACTTCGATACAATTGGGGTGCTGACCTTCAATGCAACATTGGCAGATGCAGCCAAAAGGATTGAGTGCCAGGCAATAACAGAGTTCATGGAGTCGCCATTTAGGACTTTTGCCACACTTGATGTTCAGTGTACGTAAACTTTCTTTCTAAGTCTTGCTTTATTTTCATACATTCTGTCCAAATGGTTATTTCTTGAAACTAATATGATAAAAATGTGTTAAAAACAAACTCACTCAAGAGAAACTCTCAGTTACCGTGAAGACAGTTTTGGTCCCAGTAGCAATGTATTATTCATAATTCCTCTATTAGTTTCCCCATTAGCATGGATAATTTTGAACACAAAATCTTACTCTGTTGATCCCTTGGAGTTGAAATTAATAAGGCTTTACCACTTTTTCTTAGATCTAAATTAGTTCTGATAATAGCCAGAAGAGTTCAGAAGAACAGTTAGAATTTAGAAAGAAAAAAAAAATTTTTTTAATTCCTTCCTGGAATATTCTTTTTGTTCTTCTTCAGTATTCTGAGACCTTGAGAGTCATTGATGAAGATAACACCTGTCACCATACATTATGTAAAGTGACTGCAAGTGTTATAAATTTGCTTGGATATTATCTCTCAACATTTTTTGGATCTGCCTCATGGTCTATGGCCAGTCAACTCCCTTGTTTACCTTGTGCTGATGACACGGTCTTGATAGCAACAAGTCAGAAAGAACTACAGAAATTCCTTTATACGGATACCAAGTGATAGAATATGGCTCAGCTTTAATACTGGCAAAATAGAAGTAATGGTAATATAAGAAGTGTCTAAATGTTTAATAAAACTCAAAAGGCATTATTATTGGACATGTACAGAAATGTAAGTAGCTAGACACATGGATATCATCTGACAGAAGATGTGTCACAGAGATCAAGAACAGACTAGGACAAGCTAAAACTGTATTGAAAATTTAAAAAAAGAATATTTTCTGCAATAAATTCATGTCACTGGAGATTAAAAGAAGAACTGTTAATTTTTTTTTTACTGTTCTCAAGCAAAAAGAAGAACAAATTGACACCTCTTTCAATCTTATGTAATATTAGGCTTGGACCAATGATTTTAGGGCTAATGTAAGCATTGGTTGCTGCTCAAAGATTTAAGAAAACATCTGTAAAAAAGTAAAGTAAAAGACCCTTTTCCGCACCTCCAGGGATATTTGGTATATAGGGCCAGATCTAAATTGTATAGATTAGTCAGCATTCATTGGGTGATGTGATCAGAGTCACAGTGTCAGAATGAGAAGAATCTCCCTTTAAATTCAAATTTGTATCTTTCATAATTTGGTAAACAATCATTTTAGTTCTATATGATTGTCACCAAAATCACTCTTGTGTTCTCATAAAGAACCCACACAGTAGAGAAAGAAGATTATTATGGCCTGGAAAGAATGAGGCACCTAAGTGTAACAGAGGGTCTGGCCGGCTCGCTACACTCAGAGGAAAAGCGAGACAGATATATAACCAAATTGTGACCAGTACCATCAGTGTTGGAACTCTGCGCTGGCTGCTGAAGATGAGGACGGGGCATGAATGAGAATGCCCCGAGTGCTGTAATGTCAATTCGTGACTCAGCTCAACTCAACCCATAGAACCCACAAGGAGAATTCAGAATCCCTGTCCATCTGGGAAGGCTAAACTTTATTAAAAATGCCTAAAGAAGTTGGCTGTTTCTCAGAAGTTCTGCTTTAAACAATGCAGTTAAATACAAAATAAAAGATGTTGTCGTGGCCCTACATCCTTAGGCTCAAGGCTCCTTGCTGCGACAACCTTTAAAAGTCTTAATACAGACAGTAGTGACAGCTGTAAAAAAGATGTTAAGCAAATTAAGAAGCATCACTGTAAAGATTTCAGTTATAAATGTTTGACATAATCCGAGAATATTGTGTTATATCTTCCACTGCACTAGCTCCAAATCTGAAAGTGATTGCCTGTTATTTGTTTTATCGCAGGTGCTGTTGATCTGAGAAAGATTTTTATTTTTTTTATCACGCTTGCTTAAAATCTAAGAATGATTGTCAAATGTTATTTCTTTTATTTTATCATACCTGCTTTAAATCTGTGAATGATCCATTATTTTTCTATCACACATGTCCCAAAGCTAAGAATGATTGTCTGTTATTTCTTCTATCCTACTTGCTCCAGATCTGATAGTTATTGTCCGTTATTTTTGCTGCTGCATTTGCTCCAAATTTGAGAATGATTGTCTGTTATTGCCCTAGCTTCATATCTGAAAATCATTTATATTTCTCCTATCACAGTTGCTCCAGATCTGAGAATGACAACAAACATCACAGGAAGGAACATCCGGGAACATGACTATATTCAGTTCCAATGTGTAGGTCATGCGAACCCAGCCAGTGTCATATGGAGGTCAGTTACATAGCAAATAAAAGATATTCATTTAAATGTTACGTTACGGATTTTTTTTTTTTTCACCAGCTGTAAACTCTGGAGGAAAGTTTTGGTTGTTCATCCATTTTCAGACTGCAGTCCTGTTCCAGAACCTGAGTGTTACATGTGCATCCGTTTTACAGATCTGTCTCATTTTTATGCAGACTGCTGGTTCCTTGCCTCTCAGGCAGATGCACTCCGACTTCGAAGGAAGCTCCCAATTAGTCGACTCTTACGACAATGCTTTTGGGTAGGCAGTGGTTCTATTCTTTTTTTCCCTATAATAGGGCCCCAGAACCCACACGCGGAGTTACGGAATATAATATTAGTATATGCTGTTTAATATGATATTTATATCACATTGTCATGTTGTTCACTATAATACTAAGATTAAGATCACAGTGTTATTTGATATGATAATATTTTCAGTATGTTCAAATATTTAATTTCAGCTGGTACCGCAATGATCACCCAATTAAAGATGCAACCTCAAATACTTTCCACATTGAAGCCATTTCCCCAGAGTACAACAAGAACAAAATTTCTTGTGAGGCAACTAATACGGTGGGAAGTTCACGGGTGGACATGATCCTCAATGTTGAATGTAGGTTGCTGGTGTTGTTAACTGTCATGTTTTTGTTATTGTCATTGTTATTGTTATAAAGCTGACTTGGTGAAGGCTGTCTGGGATCAAGTAAACAACACAACATAACAAACACAGTATCCTTATCTGTAGAGCCTGATTCAACTGGGATTGAGCAGAAGTGTTGAGGATTTTCTTCTTCTTTTTCCTCTTTGCATTCACCAGCTTTGAGTGCTGGCGGAAAGGTCTGATTGTTCGTCCATTTCTGGACATTAGTTATGATCCAGAACTTGAGTTTTGCATGCTCATCTGTTTTACGGATCTGGCTAATTTGTGAGCGTATGTTGGTTCGTCATCTTTCAGGCAGATGCACTCTGATTTCAAAGGAAACCCCTAATTAGGCTTTCCTGAAATGCCTGTTAGGGGACAGTGGCTCTACTATTTCCCCCCAAACTGGGGATCCGGAACCCATATGAGGATAGATGATTTTCAGTGCCCAGTGCTGGGAAAAAAAATTTTTTTCATATTAAGTGGGTTTTCTTCATAAGTGAATCCATATTAATGAGGTTTAGCTATCATCATCATCATGTAGCAGGTCCTTTGCAGAACATCACTCTCATCACAGTCTGCCTGAAAGAAACTCGGTCTCTCGCCAGTTCTCCTGCCTCATGTACTTTCATACTCAAGGAGTCACTTATATCCTGTGCCCATCTTCGTGTTAGTCGGCCCCTGCCCCTCCTTCCTGATACCATGCCTTCTGCTATAATTTTTTTCAATCCGTCGTGGCACTTGATATGACCAAAATATTTCAGTTTTAGCTGTAGACCAAGATTATTTAACTGGCAGCCCAATCTGGCCTACAGAAGCCTAACAAGGGGCCCATGGATCATTGCCAGTTGTATTGTATTTATCATATTTATCATCTTTATATGCTCGGGCTCGGACTTCTGGCCCATGACAGTCCCCAATATAAACATTTTGGTCCCTGATTAAACTTAGTCAAAAAGCCCTGCTATACACTTTTAGCTTTTTTTTTAGTTGAAGTTCTGTCGTGGATGTGGCATAAATGTAATAAAAATAAACATTCTGTTCATGCTGTTTTACAGTGAGCATAGAGTGTCAAACCTATATTTGTAGAGACAAATCAGCACTTAGTGAAAGCTGTGACCAACATCAGGCTGGCGCCTTTACTTCCCAGAAAATTACCTGGTGCCAATTTTAGGTTTGGTAGCCTGGAAAGTTAAGGTCAGTTCTGAAGATAAATTCCACAGGCATAAATTTAATAGGGCCTAAATATTCAGGGATGCTTCTGTGTGCTGATGATCCAGATAATTTCTTCATATTTCATCCATTCACTAGATGGTGCAAGAATACAAGAGATCACAGAAGTTGTTGGTGCAGACGTGGGCCATCCTGCGGAGCTTTCCTGTGAAGCAGACGGCAACCCTGAACCCAGTGTAATATGGAGACGTAAGGACAGGACCACATATGCTCACCGCACGCTGTCCGTTCAGAAGGTTTACCAGATAGAGCGTGTTAACAGCCAGGATTTTGGCTGGTATGTGTGTACAGCTACAGTGATTGGATTCCCAGATACAAGTAGAGAGGCGATGTTGTTGAAAAATGGTAAGTCTCAGATTAAAAATTATTTTCTCGTGATTTTGGTAAATAGTTCTCTTTGTCAGTTAATTTCCTTCATAACATTTTCATAACAGTACTTATCATCAACCACTGAAGTATTTGACAATTCAAAAAGTGATGAAGACCTATGCCAAATAAGTAAGTCATGTCTTTTAAGCTTAACTCTTCAACACCCAGAAGATTTTAAAGCAGATATAAGTTTTACTTGTAAATATGCACAAGTATGCTGGGCTTTATGTCTTCAGTGATGGCCAGAAATGTAAGACTGCCTGGTGAATCATTGATTTTTCATTTTGTTATGATATATTGCATCCACTGCTATTGTAGGGCTCATTACAGAAAATTATGCATCTTTCCTGTGGCAACTTATGGCTGTGATTAATGGATTTTTGCTCAATCACTGAAGAAAAAAAAAGTGAAACTTGTGAACTGAAAAATTAAAGAAAGATAGAATACCATGAACCAACAAGAAGAAAAATATTATCTGAACATCAAGGAAAATTGGCTCAATACCGTATCCTGTCTTTAAAAAATAAAAAATTTGCCTATTTGGCCATGTTAAAAGACAGGATGGCCTAGAGATTAAACAAATTTGGTGATGGAAGGTATGGTGTCTGGAAGACATGGCAGAGACTGATCATCAAGGACATTGAAGATGCATCTGCTTTGAAAGCACAGAGGGCTGGAGAAATGGCTGGAGACAGAGAGACTTTCAGGTGTGCCATGATAAGAGTGATGTTCTGTAAAGAAAATGTTTATTGATAATGATGATGATAGACAATCATCACAGTCAATACTTTGCCCTAAAATGGCAGTTGATGCAATAATCCATGATAATGGGGAAAAAGTTATTGACTAGGTGCTCATAAATTTGTGGCCACTACTGTAAGTATCTAGCTAGATTTTTTTTTAGTATGCTTACATCGGACAGAGAAGATACAACACATAATGTGATGCTTGGTGCAAACTGACAAAACCTGACCACAAATACTGCACCTTTTGAGACAGGAAGAGTTAAGATTAAAGTCAATACTTTCCCGTGTGCGTTCCGGGGCCCCATTGTGGGGAGAACAAGAACAGACCTACTGCCTCCCCAACAAGCATATCATAAGAGTCAACTAATTGGGAGTGTCCTTTGAAGTTGGAGTGCATCTGCCTAAGAGGCAAGGAAACAACAGTCTCCATATAGATAAGTCAGATCTGTATTATGGATGTGCATGCTACAATAGATTCTAGAACAAGTCTAATGTCCAGAAGTGGACGAGCAGCCAGAACTTTCCACCAGAGTTTACAGCCGGTAAATGCAAAGAAGAAGAAGAGAGTCTCTACTACATCCTCACTTTCTATCTCCTTCTAATCAAATTATTTAATTTCTATCTTTTCTTGTCATGCATTTTTGAAGGCAGTCAAAGTGACAACTGTAAAGTTTGTTTCAGTATCTCACTTTGTTGTAGCAAAAAAGGAATCATATGAAAGCCAGTAGGGCTGTTTTAACTTAGATTACACAAAAGTTTATCAGTATTTATAGATGTAGAGATCTTTGTCTGCCTTTTTTTTAAAATTTGTAATGCTAGTTCATACTATTTGATATAACTGACTGATGAAAACAAATTATACTGCATCTTTCATTAGATCGACCAAACATGAGGAGCGAAAAACAGCAAATGGCCACAGAAGGAGAGCGGGGAAAATTGGAATGTCTAACAAATTCCATTCCGAAACCAAAATCTATTATTTGGTCAAAGGGAGGCAAGGAGATCAACTATGCCATGTCTGGCCGGTTCTCAAAAGAAGATAAAGATCTGTTGTATGGGGCTAGAAGTGTGTTGCACATCCAAAGTGTACAGTCAGAGGATTTTGGCATCTATAACTGCACTGTGGAAAATGATTATGGCATTGCATTTGATCAAATTGAGCTTGTACAAAAACGTGAGTAGCAGTATATACACATGTTTGTTTCATAGATTTTTGTGCCAGTTTTTATCATCATCGACATCAATCTGTTGTGCCATTTATATACCACATAGGGTTCAAAGTCTTTTTATATACCACATGGGGCTCAAAATCTGTTTATATACCACATAGGGTTCAAAGTCTGTTTATATACCACATAGGGCTCAAATGAGAACTCAGTCTGTTTATATACCACATAGGGCTCAAAGTCTGTTTATATACCACATAGGGCTCAAAGTCTGTTTATATACCACATCGGGCTCAAATTCTGTTTATATAACACATAGGGCTCAAAGTCTGTTTATATAACACATAGGGCTCAAAGTCTGTTCCTCGATTCTGTTCCATCCTGCTCAGTCATTTCCATATCATGAATAGAATCCTGTCTAGCACCTTTAATCTCTCCTGAAAAGGTTTGTTTTAGGGTTTGCATGTCCCCTTTCCTGAAATAATCTGTTTCCCATTTTAGTGCTTTCTTGGTTATTCTCCACACACTTCTTCTCCTCTCGGTGTGTCTATTGTCTTATACTGTTGATACCAGTGATTGTCCAGTTAGTTAGTTTGTTAGTTAGTTAGCTAGTTAGTTAGTTAGTTAGTCGACAAATTATCTTCATTGCACATCCAACCATTCAGTCCATAAGTGGCTGAATCCCCTCAGTAAATCCCGCAGGGTGTAGCACTCACGATACCAGTTCTGTGTTGGTTTCTTATTCTTCTTTGACTTCCTGCATAGTGCTCTTGTCTGGTCACACCCCTTTTAACATGTTGTTTGCGCAGTCTGGTCATGGTTGCAGGTTCACAGTCACCACTTTGTTCTTGCAAACGTCTTACTTCTCGTAGAGCATTCAGAGTATCAGCATGGTCCATGGCTCGTCTGCCCACCACAGTAGCTTTACCTGCAGGCCGAACGGCTTGCTTATTTCCTTGCATGCCTGTGTGCCCTGGAACAAATATGAAACTGATATGTGTCAGCGCCAACCACTTTATAAACTCCAGCCAATGTCTTCAGATCCAGTCCTTCTCTATCTTTTTCAGTATACTCACTGAGTCACTGGGAAAGCATGTGCGAGAGGTCCGTGTCTGCAGCCATATTATTACTTTGGTCACTGCCATGACCGCCATAGTCAGACTACTTGTGGTCAGTGCAACAGCACCAGAATCTTGCTTCACTATTCTAACTCCAGTCTGAGCCGTAAAAGCCCACATGGCGAATTACTGACCCATCTGTGTAAAAACAGCATCCCTCTGTAGAGAATTCTCGAAAATCAAAGCCTGCACATCTGCCTCAACAGTGGCTGGACTTTCTTGTCTGCATTGTCCAGGTTATGAAGGACATTTGTTCACCTTTCTGAAATTCCATTGTCTTTTAGTCCCATCGGGTTTATCATCAGAAGCCCAAGGATAAGTAAAGAGAGATGTAAAATTGGCACACATTGCGTGTATTGGACCGCTAGGTAGGAATCAGTAAACGTATGATGCGTTTCTTGGAACTGAAAGAGTTAATCGATTTCATCAGTCAGTTGAACAGTGTTTTATGAACCTGTTGAAGTATTCTATATCTGTTGTTACATTTATATTCATCACTATCATGATTCATGATATGCTATTTGTAGATCATACAGGGCTTGTAGACAATTCCTCTATTTCATTATTTCCTGCATAACCCTTTGTGGTAATGTGTGTTGAATGAAGTCTGACACTTCCGGGCTTTTTTTTTTTAGTATGTAATAAACAAATAGACAAGTAATAATCTCACTGATCAAGGCATGTCTATGTGTTAATTAATTATAATGTTTCTACAGCCTCAAGGGTTTCTTGTCTGTTTATTCAAGTATGTAAATTCATAATTAATCATTTGATTTAAAAAATTTGGATTTAATAAATGCTTTGGTTTGATAAAGTGCTTTGGTTTGTTTCCCATAGATGTGCTGCCAATAACCTACATCATCATCTCCATCATTGGAGGATTGGCAGTGATCTTCGTCATTGCCCTGGTCTGTGTGTTGTATCGCAGGTGTAAGAAAGATGACCAAGGTAGTGTTTTAGGTGAGATTGCTTAGGCTATAACCCCACTAACTTTGCATGCTGCAGCTTCGCTCTAGAGACCACTTAGTTTTGATGTTGCATTTTTTGGTGTTAAAGTAGCTTTATTGATCTTTGAGTTTACACAAAAGTATAGATTTTGCAGTGGATGCTATATATACTCATTAAAACCATGAAAGTTGAACAGGATTTTATGTATGTGGAAACTAATTCAATTATGACTGCTTCTACTACTACTTCTTTGTCATTGAGGGTTATAAAATTATTCTTGCTTGCTGCCTACATCCAGATTTAACTTATGTCTGTGAGTCCTGGACAATTAGTAGGCAGGCCAAACAATTTCTTGAGGCCTTAGAGATGTGGTTTTACAGAAGAATGCTTACAATACCTTGGACAGTCAAAAAGGAGCAACCAAGAGGTTTTGAAAGAGGCAGGAGCCCGAAGACAACTAATCACAGACATAAAAAGGAGACAGTCATAATTTTTCGGCCATGTTGTGAGAAGACGGAAAATGGAACCTGTTGTGACCACTGGAAAGATATGTGGAAGGAGAGATAGAGGTAGACAGGGAGAGAAGATTCTTGACAGTCTTGTTGCATGTCATGGAGGTGTGTCAGCACACGAACTGATACATGCTGCAGGAGATCCCAGATTGTGGAGAGGCATGATCGTCCATGCCAGTCGGCAAGGCATCTGATGATGATTACTACTACAACTTTTTCTGCTGCTTGCTGCTACTGCTGCTGCTACTTGTCAGCGCATTTCTGGTTTTATAAAAGATAATGTTACATTATGCTACAGGAAGGCATGGAGATACCATTAAAGGTCAGGAATGAAGTTCCTCCTCTCCAAAGAAGCAACAAGCTGAGACAGTATTGTAGAGACAATGCAGTGTCCATACAACATTGTCTCTCTCTCTCTCTCTCTCTCTCTCTCTCTCTCTCTCTCTCTCTCTCTCTCTCTCTCTCTCTCTCTCTCTCTCTCTCTCTCTCTCTCTCTCTCTCTCTCTCTCTCTCTCTCCCCCCTCCCTCTCTACCTTTGCCTGCTTTATTAACTCCACAGGAAAGGTAACACCAATACACTTGGAACAAAGATGCTGCTGATCAGGAGATCAGTGCTCTATAGTAACACTACTACTAATATTGAGCCATTGTAGTACAAACACTCACCTGCCACCCTGATGGTCTTGGGCTTGAATCTGCCTCAAGTCCCATTTTAAAACAAATGACTCTGGCTTATAAGTTGACCTGATATATACGGCCAGTGAGACGCTGGCAGGAAAAAAGTTCTTAATTTTACTTTTACTGCTACTACAACTGCTACTGCTGTTACTACTACTAATATTGTACTGATACTACTATTACTACTACTTCATCAGCTACTACTACTATTACTTCTTTTGTTATTACTACTGCTGCTGTTACTATTACTAATAACTTCATCTTTTCCTTCATCCAAGTGACGTAACTGTGTTGTGTCTCTTAACATTATTGCTGCGATATTTGTGCCTTTTGGCCGACACATCCAACTTTGTTGGGCATTTGTTCCCTGGGTTAGCTATTACTAATACTTTACTGATACTACTGTTACAACTTGAGTGTTGGTGCTGCATGTTTTGGTATCCAAATACTTGTTTGATCGTGAAAGACAGGGAGTAGGAACTACTAGAGAATCATTGAGGCCATTGAACGCATGACAGATAAATTAATTTGTATCGACTGGAATTTATATAAGTGAATGAAAGAAGTAGAGTTCTGGGAATGCATTAGACATGTGAACTAGACAACAGTGCATTTCAGCTTGGCACTTCCAGTGTAGGTTCTGGGTCTCTTTGAAAGGGGAGAGGGGGGGAGGGGGGGGGGGGGTAGGCCCACTGCCTTCTAAAATACATGTGGTAAATGCTGGCTGATTAGGGATTTGTTGAAATTTGATGTGTTGGGCTGAAAAGGGCAGATAGTCGGCCTAGCTGTAAACTACAACACAACATGGCAATTACCCTTTTCAGGATGATTTAAAAAGAAGAAGAAGAACTTTCATTTGCAGATAAATGACAAGGCTTCATTGTAGAAGGAGAGCAGAGTGAATGAATCCAAAACTGACATTATTACAGTTGCAAAATTCCCACACATGCTCTGTCCCCCTTTTTCGATAGCCAAAGATAATCTGTGATGCTGATAGTGTGAGTTGTAAATTATTATTCTTCTTCTTAGCATTCACTGGCTGTTACTTCAGCGGAAAGTTCTTTTTTTTTTCAATTCTAGTTTTTAGTTTTGTTCAATATCTTTAGTTCTGCATGCATGCACATCAGTTTTACAGATATGACTTGTTTGTTTGTTTATTTAGATTTTCACTTCTAAGTGTTAAATGTTGAATTAGGAATCGACATCACAGCATTTGGGACACCTCTATAAGTGCTTTGTCTCCATCTTCAGCAGCAAGCGAAAAATTCCATTTCCAGTGGCAGTAGTAACTGTCTGATTGTATTTCCGTCTCGCCTTTCCGCTGAGTGTTGAGCGCCGGCCAGATTCCTTTGTAACTCCTCACAGTGCTATTTCCCTAGACCATAATGATTTATCTGTGCCTCCTCCACACTGTTCAATCACTCCTAAAGAGCCCTCAAAACACCCAGTTTTTCATGCATCAAATCACCACCAAGAGCTGCAGAACCAGCCATTCTATCTTCACTTCTTAGGCAGATGTATTCTGGCTTTAAAGGAAACACCTCTAACTGGTCACTTTTTTATACATGACTGATGAGAGAGCAGTGAGTCTGTTTCATGTCAAATGTACCCATTCTCCCAAAATGGGGCCCAAGAACCCTCACAGTCAGTTCTAAATTAATTAGAGGAGCAGCTGGTTAAATGGTTAGAATCCTTGGTTCCCATGTGGGATACCTAGGTTTGTCTTCTTTCATTTGACTGAAATAAGTTGTCTTTATCAGCAATTTTGTCTGTCATATAAGTTTCATTTTAGTTTTTAGTTGAGGTACAGGTCTGTAGAGTTTACTTTGTACTGTTCTTTCTGGCCCTCCCAAAAAAGTGTTTCCTTAGTGTGTCATATTCGATGCAGTCTTGGAGTATGTGTTCTGCAACTTTCCGCACATGCAAATGGCTGATACATCAATCCACGGCCAGCTCCAGATTTTTATAAGGCCGTACAGCTCGAACGGGAATTCCCTTCTTGTGCAAGAATTGAGTCCCTCTGCGTCCACAGTTTTTAATTGAGGAGATGTATATGCAAATTAAACTACAGTTTCATTAATTTTCGACATATTTTTTAGAGCTATACGTCATTTTTATGGTAAATAAGTGTGCCGAATAAATATAACAATAAAGGCTCTTACAGACAAACAAAAATGCTTTTGCTACAGTCAACATGAACATAAACATCAATAACCTTTAGATGAAAACTAAAAGTTGTTCCAGCAAAAGTTAAGAAATATAAGTGCTAACTTTTTGATTCTGAGAGGGTATTGTTGCATCAGAGGAGCGGGGGGAAAAGGGGGGGGGGGGGGGGGGGGGGGGTATGAAATTGATATGTGCAATACTTTTTTCACCCAGAGTAGTTTTCTTAACAGTACTTATAGCACTACTAAATATGTATCCTCAAGGTACAAACAGCACAAACAAATTTGTCCAGTATCATCTTGTTGGATGAAATCAATTCCTTACCATTGCAAGCTTTTTGGTAACAAATATGCATAGGAAGTGAATGAACTACCAGAAGTTTCCGCAAGAGTTTACAGCCAGTGTTCGCGAAGCAAAGCAAAAGCCAGTTTACAAAAATTAACAGACCGTAGTACTGCAAATATGCAAAAGAAGTCGATTAACTACCAGAAGTTTCCGCAAGAGTTTACAGCCAGTGTTTGCGAAGCAAAGCAAAAGCCAGTTTACAAAAATTAACAGACCGTAGAACTGCAAATATGCAAAAGAAGTTGATGAACTACCAGAAGTTTCCGCAAGAGTTTACAGCCATTGCTCGCGAAGCATAAGTCAAATGGTTAAGGATTAATAACCAACATATAATTATACTGTTAGTCAACAATTAGTAAAGAGGCAAAGAGTGACTTGCTGTGAGAGGTTAGTTAGTAAATTAAATATTATTTTCATCCACTTACCTAGAGCTCTGAAATATCTTGATACAATTTATCCACAGTGTGGTTGTACCATTTATGCACAGTCAAAATGAAAGCAATAGTTTTCTTCAAACACAAGATAGTTTGCACCTGACAACTGTGGATATTCTCCAGAAATAGCTTCTAAATTACCTGTTTGTATTATCCCTAAAAGTAAGATTTTTACATTTAAAGTAGAAAAGTAATAAACAGCCAGTTTCCAAAAATCCGAACTAATGACTAGAAACAGTGACACTGACACACACATCACAACACGACTGTCTTCCGTGAATTAAAATTAAAATTAAAGTTGCTGTATATCCACTTCACAATATCCATTTGTAGATTTGTAATACAAATACGTTTAGAACACAGGACTTTGTAAGCATATTAATATGTCACACAATGCAACATGGAAACGCTCCCAGTAACCTAATTTCGAGGGAGGCTCCTCGAAAATGTACCGTGATTCAGTTGGCAGGACTGAATAATTAGAGAAGGGCGTGCATCAATCTTAAATTACATGTGCATGTTGTTGCATAATAGGTTGTGCGCTGCTCTGAGGCACAGGACAGTGACTTATTCTGATACGTCCATAATAGAGTAGTCATCTTGTGCTGATACTGGTGTTGTCTGATTGATTCAGTGATCTGTTTTCTCTGATGGTATTTGACTGGTACATCCAGCTGCATCTTTCCCTGCCAGGTGATTAACTCACTCTTTTCGGGGCATTCCACAATAAGATAATGTCCACTGTTTTGTAACTGTACGGTGACAACTGAGCTGTGTCAGCAGTGTTTGTAATTCTGGTAGTTTCCCAGCCTGGAGGGCTACAAGTACTGATTTTGCATCTCTTGGCATAACCACAGACTGTGAGCCAAGGTTGGTATTTAGTAAATACCTCAATTCAGTTGTTGGTGAAACATGGAGGTTTCTTCTGTCAGGTGCAAAACAAAATTCTAAACTAATCTGCAAAGTTTGTGGTGACTGCACTATCCATGCAGCCCTCGAATCTGCAGGCTCACTTCCAGCCTGTGCTACACCACCAAAAGTGGTCAATACAGGTAGTTAAAAATAACTTTTACAAACTAGTTTAAAAACTTGTTCTCTGTTTCTGAATGAGTTGAACACTGTTCAGATTCTGTACCTATTTCCAGCTGAACCAGTCTCTCCAGGCATGTCTGCTCTGTCTGTTCTGTAGCACTGCCCAATTGATCCCATAGAGCTCTAACCATTTCTACCCAGTTGATCAGATCCCATAGAGCTCTCACAATTTTTACCCAGTTGATCCCATAGAACTCTCACCATTTTTACCCAGTTGATCCCATAGAGCTCTCACCATTTTTACCCAGTTGATCCCATAGAGCTGTCACCATTTCTACCCAGTTGATCCCATAGAGCTCTCACCATTTTACCCAGTTGATCCCATAGAGCTCTCACCATTTCTACCCAGTTGATCCGATCCCACAGAGCTCACACCATGGTCAGCATCATGCCGGTAGCCTTTACTTCCCATGACTTTTATTTAGTACACAGTCTAGGCTAGGTTGACATCGAAGCCAAGGTAATTTTTTTTTTTTTTTAAATCCAGCTCTGCTTGGATTTGAATCCGCAACTTTTGGATTGGCATAGGTGTCATTTGTCTAGCTGCTTCACCATGCGGCTTCCTTATAAAACTGAAATTATACAATAATTCCACAATGTTGGTCATCTTACAAAAGATCAGTCTGGCTTGACACAATAAATATATCCACTCCCCTCCACCCCATTACCCACCATGACCCCCAAAGTAAAATTTTAAAATATAAAAGTTAATGCAAATATTTCTGAGTGGTGTGCATGTTATCAGATTTTACTTGATTTATTCAGAAAAAAAGCAGTTTGCTGCAATGAATGAACACTGTAGTAATGAAATTAAAATGTAACATTTATTGTAACGCATTTTGGTTGCACTTTAAATAATTGTAGTATTTTTGTTTTCTAATGGCCTTGGCTCATAAGTTGACCCAGTTGTATAAAATGGGTACCAGAAGATGGCCTGCCAAGTAAAGGCAGTTGATATGATGCTGACCACATCACTCATCAAGTGATGATGCTCACAGAGCATGTTGAGAAAGGTGGAGACAGGCATGCTAGTGTAGAGTGGCAAACATTACTTCAGAGGTCCCGGGTAGTTAGCATCCTTTAGATATTTTCTAAACAGTATGCAGGTGTGTTGGGAAAGAAGCAGCCAGATAGACTACCCAGTTCTACACCACTAGGTAGTGAATTGATGTATGACAAACTAGATTTTGTAAGGGCTTTTTAAGATTGAGTGAACTGTGCAGAGGCATCGATAGATCATTATGGTCTGAGTAGAAAGGTGCTGTGAGGATTTACCAGGGGATCTGGCCAACACTCGAGAAATAGGTGAGATGGATATACAATCAGACAGTCACTAGTACCATCGGAATTGGAATTCGTTTGGATACGCTGGATACTTCAAGTGAATGCCGAAGCCATACAAAGTGTCCTCAGTCAGCAAAACACACATGAGTTGATCTGACAAACCATATGGTGCATGCCTCCTTAAAAACACTGTGAGACCAGGCATCATCGGTGAAAATCAACTGCATTCGATGAATAGCTGGGCGATGAGTAGATTAAAACTATTCCTGACTATTCTCCACTGTTTCATTAACATTTGTCTTGAGACAATTTTATTTTTTCAGGACATCATCATTTTTTCAGTCCGGTTTCTTTTTCCATTGAAGTGCTGATTTGGTGATTCTCTATTCGCACATCTCATGATGTGCTCAATATACTGCCATTTTTTTTTTGGTGGGTCTTGTAACTGTTGACATCCGCAAACATTTCTCTTATTGCTATGCCTTTCTTGAATTCAGCCCATTTAATGTTCATATTACTTTGTTTTCATCATACTTTAATGCCCTGTGTTTATTACCACAGGTTCATATGCAGACACAGACAGTTCCTCAGACAAGAAGAGAGAAAAAACAGACTCACCAAATACTTTAATGGGACAGTTGCGGCAGGACTACAACAAAGATGTTTATAGGTTTTCGGCAGACTATGATGACATGCCATATAAGGTAATTTCACCTTTGACAGTTTGGTGTTTTCAGTGTTAATCATCACCACCAGCAGCATCATAATCATTATCACTGAGGTGTTCCTGGGGGTTATTTGGGGAGAAAAGGGCAAAAGGAGGACAAACAGAAAAAGATCTCGGCTACCAGAAAAAGAAAAAAGTTTAAATATTGAGAGTAGCTGGATGAAAATATACATATCATTAACCAGGCCCTTTTTCTGTCAGTATGAAACAGTTCACAGTACTGACATCTTTTTACAGGCATTATTGATTTCATCGCTAATGAATTTCATCTTGTGGTGAGTGAGTACCAGCACCTTTTAAAAAAAACATATGTGTATGTATATATAAATATAAACTCTTCACTGTCTCTTGGTAATTGTCTCTATATAAACTATGTGTTGTCCAGAGAAGTCTCAGGTCTACAAAGTAGTCTCTATATTTCAACTTAACAGGAAAATCTTGGTATATATTGTTGGCAAATGCCAAAGTCACTAAGTGCTGTTTTTGGCTGTTATTGGTAGCTTTACAATCTGCCAAAAATAAATTTGAATTCCTGCTCCAAACAGGTCAAAATGAAGTATTACTTTCATGCAGCTACACTGTCTTACTTTCACCTCAATGTTCAGATATGACTTTCTTGAAGCAAGGATTTATCATTTAGCTGAGTTTACCTTAGTGCCAACGTTACATTCTACACTACAAGATAAGGAACAAATGATTAATTACATTCTGTTTATGAAGTAATTTTGATCTCATAATTTAAAATCTATTGGACTGATTTAAAATCAAAAGCATGGTGTATAACCAAAATGTCCGTTACAACTTCCTCAGGTAGTTGAGAGTGATGAGGTGAAAGACTTTCCAACATTTCTTTCCTGGGCCACTTGTCGAAAGTGGAAACAGGTTTCAAAATTAAAGCTAAATACAGTTGCTTTTTATGTTTTTTCTTTAGATCTTTCAGTCCCAGAGGTTTAGCAACAAATTTCTAAAAGGCAAATAACTAATGTTGAAAATCACTAGCGTACTTGTTTCAAAGAGACTAAACATACAATTAAAATGGCTAGGATGGAGCTAAATTTCACTAACGTGACTGACCAAATAAAAAAGTAAGAGAACACATTAAACATTGGCTGATAACCACAAGGAGGCATCCATTGCACATGGTGCATTGTTTGGGACTGAAAGACTCAAATATTATTAGTTTTTAATTCTTGTTTTTACTTAACCATTGGCATATTGAAAATGTCTTGTAGCTGACAATTTGGTTTACATTTTTAGACATTTGTCAGAATATATATTTATATTTCAAAAAATTTTCATTTTAAAGTATCAAGTCATGATTCTGCTAATGCATTTGTCAATGTTGTGATTTGATTTAGCTGTTTTAATGTTTTCTTCATAAATGTTTAATTTCTGAGTTAATTTCAAACTGTTAATCTACTTTATTTTATTTTTTCTTTATATATATTCTTTTTTACGTTTAAAAAATTTGAATTGCATACAATTCTTTTCCAGTGAGCTGTCATTATTATTTGTAACTGAAGTTTTTATTTCCCTTTTGTATATAATTTGGATTTTGTGCTTTTCCTGTTGGTTTTGTGTGTTGTTTCATCTGCTTGTGTCAGTCATTTGATGTTTACAATTTCCTTTTTATTGTCCACTGATCTTGCTTAGCTTTCTTGTGCAGTAATTTTTTTATTTTTTTTTATTACATCTTCAGCAATAAGTGTTTCATAAAATCCTCTATGGATCCCAACAAAGAATAATTCTTTACATAATAAGGGAAAAGTAACATTTCCTTTAGTTGTTATTTTAATATATTTGTAAATAGTAATATGAGTTATTAGGTGTCATAAATTATGTGGAAGCTGCAGAAATGAGATCTTATGGACAAATAATGAGAACAACATTGCCAGATAATAAGTGTAATGAAGATGACTTTTTAAATATTAAAAAAATTTTTAAATTTAAAAAAAAATAACTCACGAAGAAAACTGATTACTCACATCATGAGCAGACATTCTACATGCTTTAGTCATATCGTGAGAAGGGGAAAACATCTTGACAGTGGGAAATTTGGAGGGGGGAAATATGTAGAGGAAGAACCAAGAGAGAAGGTTCTGAACAGTTAGACATCATGATATGGAAGATAAGCTGTATCAGAAACAATTACATACTTAAGATAGACAGAGATTATTACTAAAACCACACAACATGGAGTTTAAAAAGTTGAAGAAACAATTAACAATACTTAAGATAGACAGAGATTATTACTAAAACCACACAACATGGAGTTTAAAAAGTTGAAGAAACAATTGACAATACTTAAGATAGACAGAGATTATTACTAAAGCCACACAACATGGAGTTTAAATAGTTAAAGAAACAATTAACAATACTTAAGATAGACAGAGATTATTACTAAAACCACACAACATAGAGTTTAAAAAGTTGAAGAAACAATTGACAATACTTAAGATAGACAGAGATTATTACTAAAGCCACACAACATGGAGTTTAAACAGTTGAAGAAACAATTAACAATACTTAAGATAGACAGAGATTATTACTAAAACCACACAACATGGAGTTTAAAAAGTTGAAGAAACAATTGACAATACTTAAGATAGACAGAAATTATTACTAAAGCCACACAACATGGAGTTTAAAAAGTTGAAGAAACAAATAACAATACTTAAGATAGACAGAGATTATTACTAAAGCCACACAACATGGAGTTTAAACAGTTGAAGAAACAATCACAATAATAAAATAACAGTAAAAAAAGTCAGCGTCTATTACTTTTAGTTTCTTTTCTTCTTTATGTTCACCGGCTGTAAACTCCGGTAGAAAATTCTGGTTGTTCATACACCTATGGACTTTAGACTTTAGAACCATAGTGTTGCATGCACATCAGTTTTACAGATCTGACTTATTTGTATGCAGACTGCTGGTTGCTTGCCTCACAGGCAGATGCACTCCGACTTCGAAGGCAACTCCCAGCTAGTCAGCTCTTGCGACATGCTTGTTGGGGAGTCAGTGAGTCTATTTGTGTTTTCCCCACAATGGGGCCCCGGAACCCACACTGGGAGGTATCTACTCTAATTCTAGCTGTGAATGATTTGGCAGCCGACCACATTTTGTGATTTCAACATTAAGAGCTGACCGTTCTGAAAGCAGTGGCAAACTAACAAACATAAAATTGCCTTAAAATTAACTAAAACAGCTAGAAAACATTGCTGGGGATGGTTCCGCAACATCAAAGAAAGCATGCACAACTAACTTGAAAGGTTTAAAAAAAACAAAAAAACAAGTAAATAACTGTAGTGAGTGTTTTAGAGAGAATTGCAGATAACAGAATGATAAAAGTATGTACATACAAGAATTGAATTTGTTCAGACCTTAAGGCAGACCAAGAAGACAGGGGAGAGATAATATGTATTCTGACCTAAATACACTTGGAATTACCAACTGGATAGTGAAGGCCTATCCCAGAGATGAATGAAGGAGGGTGATACCTACAGCAGTGAACCTCAAGGGCTTGAAATGCGGAATAAGAAGACTTACATACATATATGTGTGGGTGTGTGTATATATATATATAAATATATATACATGAGTGTGTAAATATATATTTTTTTACTTGAATGTGTTTTATATATATATATATATATATATATATATATATATATATATATATATATATATATATATATATATATATATATATATATATATATATATATATATATATATATATATATGAGTGTGTATATGTAATATACATGTGTGTGTGTGCATGTACACTTAAACACACATGCACACTCACACACACATGATGTTAGTTCTGTATTTAATAAAACAGTTGGCATTGAGGAAGTGATGGAATTTAATAGAACACTATAAATCTATTTTAAAGTGTACTTTTACCAGCACTCTATCTTTCTTGTATATTTATATATACAATTGAATATTAAAAGCCAAAAGTTCAAAAGGACAATTAACTGGGACCTTCCACCGGAATTCACAGCCAGTGAATGAAGAAGAAGAAGAAGAATATTAACTGTACAATGTTAAAAGCCAGATGTGTCATTTTTTTCATGTTGCGAAAGCAAATAGTTTACGACCATTTAATGTTCAGTGTTTCTTGGCTTCAGTATTTGTTAAAAAATGCTATCCAGAGCTTTTATGTGTGTCTTCTAATTATTGTTTAATCACATGTATTTTCATTGTAAGCTCTATCATCATCATCATCATTATCATGTTCAAGATGGCATTAGCATTATTGTCACCTCAAAGAGCTTTTACTTACTAACTTAGTCCTTCTTCTTCTACCCGGGTTGTAGAGGTTTGCCATAGAGATTCCCAGACTTCTCTATTAGCAGTTTTCTTTTTGGCTTTGTTCCATTCTAGTCCTTTGTCAGTCAGGGACTGTTGAATGTTGTCTTCTCAGCGAACCCTGGGTCCTCCTGGAGGTCTGGTTCCCTGGTTCTTGGCCTCCCATGCCTGCTGTGGTGGCCGATTCTCTCCCATTCTGCATACATGTCCAAACCATCGTAACTGTGACTGATCCACTCAAGTTTGTAAGGTCTAAGTTTCATAATCATGATATAATATCTGGTTGTGAACTTTGTCCCTTCCTGTCAGTTGGACCACTTTTCTCAGATCCTTTCTGAGGGTAAAGCTGGCTTCTATGAGCTGCTGTCAATGCCCAGGATCATTTCTCTTTTAAAGAACATAGTTTTCTTATAATTTTGTTTGCAATATTATATTTGATTTATCTCTTTCCAGGTAATCAGTGGTAATAACTCTCACAGCGTGTTCACAATATTAACACTTTTGGGTACCAAACATCACCAAGCATTTCTTAGTCATTAAAAAAAATGTTGTTGCTATCTTTCTTTCACAGACAGGTGCTAATTAAACCTTCCTGAGTTATTAGTTCTGTCTTCTCTTCTCTATATTGAACTCTTTAGGACAAAAGTGGTTAAAAGATGTGTGTTAACTCTTTTTGCTCCAAGCAGTTTGAACCACTTCTGTCCTAAGGAGATGAACCGATCCATCTCCTCAGGACAGAAGTGGTTCAAATAATAACTGCTTGCAGCAAAAAGAGTTAACACTTATCTTCCCTGCATTCAGATTCTTCTGAAATTATTGGTTTACATTCATAGGTTACAGCCCATCCACAGTCTGCTTACGAATAAGCCTGACCTGTAAAATAGATTTACATGCAGAATTCAAGTTCTGGAACAAGACTCAAGTCTGGAAATGGTTAAACAACCAGAACTTTCAGCCAAAGTTTACAGCTGGTGAACATGAAGAAGAAGACGAAAAAAGAAGTTCACATTTTAAGATTACAACCCACACACACTGGACAGCAAGTCACTCTGCAACCATTTGATGCCCTGATACAATTGTTTTGCATGGGGAAACATGATTTTTAATAATTCCTTCAACTGTATTCATTTTTGAATAATGGCTTTTTGTGTCACTGGATGTCAATCTTTTAGACTGCAGTCATGGAAGAGAAAGTTTTTGCTTTTTAAACCCCGAAGATTTCTACCCAAATACCAAAACACATTATGTATTTATATTCTTTAACTCTTTTAGTAGCAAGTAACTCACTATAATAAGTTGACTTTTAGAGCAAACAGTGAATCTGTTCTTCCCCTCCCCCCCCCCCCCCCCCCCCCCCCAAAAAAAAAACATTAGGCTCCATGATGAACCCACACAGGGGAACTAACTTACTAAATGTCATCTTCTGAACAATTTCTTTCTTCATCGACAGGAGCAGCAGGCCAAGGGAAACAACAATGGTTATGGCTTTATTGAACCCTTTGAGGCTTATTCCGATAATCAAATTTATGATGGAGAATATGTTCACAGGGGAGACGATTTGATTCCAGAGAGGTGAGTGCAATGAACTGTGTTTCACTTATTAATTACTTGACTGGAAATGATATTGCTAATAACAAGTTATTACAAACATGTCTAAAGGTTGTCTAGTCTGTTTAATAATCCCCTACCCATACAACAAATATTGACAGCGCTAACAATGGTCAATCCAGTCATCTCCTTGTGAAATGCAATTTTTTATTTTCATTTGAAGCCTTACTTTGGCTCTTGCCAGGGGCTGCAATATAGCCCGACCGTAGATATGGTCTAATAGCTGAACGCAGTTTCTGGGACCTCTCCACAGTGATCCTCATCCATATTGTGGCACTTTGTGTCATGGGGTGTTTATCGCTTGTGTGATGTCATGGTGGGGAAAAAATTTACTACTACTAATATCAACAGGGGACAACATTTTTTTTTTTTTTTGGAAGCTGTTGTCATAGTATAACCTAATAGTTGAACAGGGTTTCTGGGACTTGCGCTCAAAGGATTCTCATCTGAATGGTGGCACCTTGTGTCAGTCGGTGTTACCCTCTTTTTTGCAGGCCTGGTGGGGTTGAACATCATTCATTCATCCCCTACCTATGTCCTTAACCCTACCCACTCCTGACTTCAGGCTACGTTGTGACGATTAGGGATCCTAAAATAACCTTATGGTTGAACAGGGTTTCTGGGACTTGACCTGTGGGATCCTCATCCAAATAAGGATGCATTGCACTTTGCATCACAGGGTGGTAATCACTCAGTGTGTGGTCCTACTTTATCGCTCACTTACTCGCCGTCTCTCCCTCACTTTATCACTCACTCTTTCCATTGCTTCTTTACTCACCCACTCACTCTTTTACTCCCTTGCTTAATAACTCACTCACTCATCCTCCTTCCATCATTTTATCACTCACCCACTCCCTATTTCCCTTCCTCACTCACTCACTTGCCCTCACTCATTCACTCACTCACTCACTCATTCCGTCACTCGCTCACTCACTCAGGATATCACTCGCTCACTTGCCCTGAGTGGGTGTTCGCGCGTGAGAGTGCGTACATATTTTACCAGCCATGCTTTTGTTTTTGACTTCACATATATAATATGCATATTATTACATGAATATAACATGCTTCATTGATTAAATACAACTGCTGTGTGAAAGATAGAAGTTTGGAAGGGCCGAATGTAAGACAGGCCTGCGTGCCTAATTTGTAACCCTTTGAAAATAAAGTTCGTTCGTTCGTTCGTTCCCTCACTTTATCACTCACTCACTCACTCAGTCACTCCCCTACCCATTGTCCTTACCAGAACAGGTCTGCTGGTTACACTGGGCTGATGTAGCCATGACTGGTGCCCTTCTTGGGAGGTCGTACAAGGTCTCCGCCCTGTTGGTCTGCCATTTAGATTGGGATTTTTGTTTAATCTCAGGGTAATAAACCTTCAGGTAGCAGCCCAAAAAGGATAAAATGGTTGACTGATCAGTTGATCAATCTCCTTACCATTCCCACAAGAATGAGTGTTTATTGTAATGCCTAGAATCCCATGATGTAAATTCTTTATTCAGCTCAATTTAACTCAGCTTGCATAAATTCAAAAGCAGAATTGTCAAATGTTATGAACACACACACAGAGCTGTTTGTAAGAAACAGCTATTCAGGCATTATCTGCATAAGAATGGCATAAGAAGAATGGCATGTGATAACCTGGGGGCCACCACAAAGATTGATGGAAAAGAGCAAGGGGAAGGTGAAAAGATAAATTCTTGGATGGCTTGACAAGAGGATGGGGGAGGGGGGTGGGCTGAGAGAACTGACCTGACCTGTGATCATTTAGGATGGCAAAACATGACTGTCCATGCCTGTGTTGTTGTTGTGTGTGTTTTTTTTAAAAACTCTTTGAGTCCCAGGGGGCTTAGCATCACAGGCCCAAGGGGTAGTCACGAGAGACATAAAATTGGTGCATCATGCGTTCTTTGGGCCTCTGGGAATCTATGAACATATAATGCGTTCCTTGGGACTCAAAGAGTTAAGCAAGGCACAATATCATAAAACTGTTCTCGTTAATTTAAAAAAAAAAATTTTTTTAAACAAACAGAAAACACTACATGTATTGTACAGAGAATTGTATGAGTCACTCCTTATAAGGTTATCTGTGGCTTAGAGACTGTGAACTCAATTTTACAACACCAACATACTTGGCACAGATCAGCTGCAAGTGATTCACAGTGTGAGGGAAATAGCATAACAATTCATCTTGAAGACCCCACAAGTGTCGCAACAGCCAGGAACTGAACTTGGATCAATTGGAAGGCAGCCATGTTGACTGTTATACCATTAGTGCAACTTACAAACATTCCTTATGTCATCTGTTCTATATGTAAATATATTTTTCTTTTTTGAGAATCTTTTTTTTTTAAAGAAATTTTTTGTGTTAACACTTTCAGACTGGATCCAGCATACAATACTGGTACAGCATATAGTATGAGCAGTTTCCGAAGAAGCAGTCACGATAGCACACCTCCCCCGACAATGACCCGCTTAACTTCCTTGCATTTGAGTGACTCCAAACTGGCAACAGATGTATAGAAGTTCCAGATTTCTTCAGACTCAAAGCCATGTTGTTTGTTTTTCATACTTGGTTCATCAAAGCTGTTTTATTTTATTTTATTTTTATTCAGGTTCAAAGTTCAGATAAATTAATTGAGAATGTAATAATATTATGTAAATCCATGAATTTGTGTTGTGAATGGTTGGAAATCCAACGTATTTGCCTGCATTGCAATTAACTCTTCATGTACCAAGAAGTCAGTTAAGCTTCGAGGGTTTAGCATCACAGGCCCAAGGAGTAGTCAAGAGAGACATAAAATCGGCGCATCATGCATTCATTGGGCTTCTAGAGAGTAACCTATGAACGTATGATGTGTTCCTTGGGACTCAAAGAGTTAACCCTTTGGAGACAACTCAGCCAATCTATTGGCCCACAGCAAAGCAGCCAAAAGTATGGCTAGACCAATCTGACAGCCCTATAATACAAGCCTTGAGATTGGCTGGAAGGTTTTCGCACCAGCTAATCATATTTCTTGCACATGTGGGCTATTCTAGGATGGAAGTTTGATGTGTTCTGTCTTTTTTTACATCAAATTTGTTTTTGGAGGGGTTACCAAAATATATTACAAAGCAGGAAAAGGGTAGAACCATGTGCCAGAGGTAAATGAAGGGCCTATATGGGTCTTATTTTCTAAAACACAAGTGTTAGAAATTTTTCAGGTTTTGTTCATAAAAAAATGAAGCAAAATTATTCAAATTTAGTCATGTTTGTCCTAATTAATTAAACAAAATAATGCATGCTTAAATAAACAAATTTGATAGCTAATTTGAATAAATGTTGAGATGTCAGTGTGTTTCATAAAGACTGTTGGTTCATTCAATTTCCTACACGAATATATATATTTTTGTATATGTTAACTAAATGCTTTTTTATTTTTATTTTATGTGTGTGTGTGTGTATGTGTGTGTTAAACTGAGAGAATCCCCTCCTGGAGGCTCTGTCTTCTTGGCACTGAAACTCAAAAAGGCTCTGTCTCCCAAGGGTTAAGGAAGAAATGCTGTTTCCATTTTCATGTTGTTGTAAGCTGTTACTGCTGGCATAATTGGATTAACTCTCTCTAGGTGGCTGAACTATGCCAGCCTTTGTTTCTCAATTAAATTAGTAATGGGTATTGTTTCAACGGAAGTCGTGGTGCTGTAAAGACTATAAGTGAAAGATGATGTATTCGAATCCGCATGGAATCTGATTTTTTGTTTCAGGCATGACTATGACTGCTAAAAAATGGGTACCACATAAAAGTCTTGGAAAGCAAAGGCAACCAGCATTGTGTTGGCTTATCGCTGATCGAAAGTTGGTTGGTTTATTAAAAATATGAATCCGGCATAATTTACTCGATAGACTACGGCATTTTATGGTTACTTTACCTTTTTTTTTAAATAATATTTTGTTGTTGCTTTAATAATTCTTTTTTTTTCCCCGTTCAATCTATTCTAGTTTTGCTGTCTTTCTCAGATATCTAATTTCACAGGTGGTCAGTTTTCTCTAGTGTTTCTTGGTTCTTCTTCTTCAAATTCATCGGCTGTAAATTCTTGGGGAAAGTTCTGGTTGTTCGCCCACTTCTGCACTTTAGTCTTGTTCCAGAACTTGAGTTTTGCATGCCATTTAACTGATCTGGCTTTTTTGTAAGTAGACTATTGCTTCTTTGTATCTCAGGCAGATCTACTCCAAATTTGAAGGAAACCTCTCTACATCCCTAATTACTCGACCTTATGACATGCTTATTGGGGAGCAGTGCATCTATATCCGCCCCCCCCCCCCCCCCCCACAGTCCCCCTCCCAGAGAATGGGGCCCCAAGAATGCGCGGGGGGGGGGGGGGGGGGGGGGTTTAAATAAGTTGATGCTTTTATTTATTTAATGCATAGTTTGTAGAGCCGGTATTCTGTTGGAAAAAAAAGGATATTTACTGACTTCATGTAAAAAACAAAAACAATTTAGATGAGAATCTTTTAAAGGACATTGCAGAACAAGCTCCAGCTTTTGTCAGCTGTTGTGGTTTTTCTAAAGAAATTTTACGTTGCCATTGCTTCTGAACAGTCAGCTCTTGGTTCCACTGTCGAAACCAATGCAAGACAAATCGTCTACAGCTGGGATCAAACCCCGCACCTCGGCATTACGAAGTGCAATCACAACGCCTAAGCCACAGATGCTAACGACATCCTGTAAAACAAATATAATTTGCTGACAAATTATAAAACAAATGAAATTACTACATCCTGTTAAACAAATATAATTTACTGACAAATTATAAAACAAATGAAATTACTGACATCCTGTTAAACAAATATAATTTATTGACAAATTATAAAACAAATAAAATTACTGACATCCTGTTCAACAAGTGTAATTTACTGACAAATTATAAAACAAATGAAATTACTGACATCCTGTTAAACAAATATAATTTATTGAGAAATTATAAAA